ATACACAAATTGATATTTTCTATACAATGCCAATGCAGAATCAGAAAATAAAATAAATGAAATAATTCACTTTACTATAGGCTCAAAAAGAATAAAATACTTAGGAATCAATGTACAAGAATTTTAAACTGAAAACTAAAAAATATTGTTCAAGTACACTAAAAAGATATAAAGAAGTGGAAAGATATTCTATGTTCATAAACACAAAGACAATATTATAAACTGTCAGGATAACTCAAAGTAATCCACAGATTCAATGCATTTCTTATCAAAAGCCCAATGGCTTTTTGTGCAGATCTGGAAGTGCCAATCTTTAAATTTATGTGGAATTACAAGGAACTCCAAATAGCCGAGACAATATTGAAAAAGATGAACAAAATTGGAGGATTCACACTTCCTGACTTCAATATGGACCACAAAGCTACAGCAATTACACAATGTAGTAGTAGCATAAGGATAGGCATATTAATCCATGGAACAGAACTGAAAGCCCAAGTATGTTCAACTGATTTTCAGCAAGGATGCCAAGATCATTCAATGGTAATAATCTTTTCAATAAGCAGTGCTGGAACAACTTGATATCCACATGAAAAGAATCAAAGTGTACCTATATCACACCATATACAAAGATTTGCTCAAAAAGGATTAAAGACATTCATTTAAGAATTGAAACTGTACAACTCTAGAAGAAAACAATGGCAAATTTTCATGTTTTGGGTTTCGGCAAGGGGTTCCTTAATATGACACCAAAAGCACAAGCAACAAAATTTAAAAACAAACAAAATGGACTTCATCAAAATTAAATACTTCTGTGCAAAGGATCCTATTAAGAAAGTTGAAACAAGTTACAGTAGTAAACTGAATAAACTTGTTTCTTCCTACCTGCTCATAGCACTTTTCAGTATATCTGTTAATTATTTAATTCTGCCTTGCATAGTGCTGGCATCCCTTACTCTTTTTTTTATTCTTTATAACTTTTGGGTGGCTTGCATATTGGAGGTGATCAATAAAGTCTTAAGTACTGATTGAATGCCAGTTTATCCTATTTCCCTGATACTTATCCTTTAGGCACACATAAAAACAATGCCTTGGTAATGAACAAACGTTCTAAGGAAATGCACAATAAAGGCGTAACCAAATTCATTTTGGTACAGTAAGGAATACATCCTAGACAAATAAATTTCAAACCAAATTTTGAAGTCAGGAAATGCTTCATTGGTGCTTAGTGGAAATGAATCTACAGTATGGAGGGTTGTGAAATGAGGTGACCAACAAATGAGCCACATGGACTCTGATTTTGAGGAATAGAAAATCGATGGTTACAAGCAGGAAATAAAAGGTATTTTGCTATTTAGGCAAGCCAGAAGAGATTTTTTTTTCTAACAACTTGTCTATCAAATCAAAAAGATTAGACATGGTGTCATATATCTCATGGTACCATATGAAATCTACTATGTGAGATATGAATGGTTATATACCATTGATAGGGCTTCCCTGGTGGCTCAGATGGTAAAGAATCCACCTGCAATGTGGGAGACCCTGGGTTCGATCCCTGGGTTGGGAAGATTCCCCTGGAGGAGGGCACAGCAACCCACTCCAGTATTCTTGCCTGGAGAATCCCCAAGGACAGAGGAGCCCGGTGGACTAGAGTCCATGGAGTCCCAAAGAGTCGGACACGCCTGAGCCACTGAGCACAGCACATAGCATTGATAGGTTACATGGATCCTATAAAATGAGACAATCCATACCATATGGCAGTATCTCACAATATAATTGAACAAGTGAGATGTACAGGTTGGTTTAGGCATCTATCTACCTACTGGGAGGTTATAGATTATCCTAAAGCCTTAGTTCTAGTTTTTTAAAGATAGTATTTATGTCACAATATAAATAAATCATTTGTACACTTTACTAATGTTATTGTCATATATGGCCATCAAAATACACTGTAGTAAGTCAAAGTCAGTCACTATAATTGGATGGGACTATTTTATATGTGTGTGTGATTAAGAGACATTGCTACAGTCATGTTTAAGTGTATTGATTATGAAACCTACTTTAGCACTCTGTACCAATTGGTGTTTTTCATGATGCAGTCTGGTGATTGTCTACTGTTGACTTCTTTGTGTACTGGCAGAGTCTTACTGGATATCAATATCTCTATCAGCTAAATGGGGACAGTAGTACTGGCCATGACAACCTTCCTCCCTAGACTAAAATGGTAATAAAGACATGCTAAAGCCAGATTGCTGATGGTTTCTTCCAAACTGCCTGGGTGACAAGAAAAAATTCACAACAGGCTCTTATCAATGAAGAATAACCTACAAGAATATTAAATGTTTCACTTATCCACTTAAATACTTTTAAAGCCCTTTTAACTTTGACAAGTATAAAGGAAAAAAATCTTCTTGACAATGATCAAGAGTGGAAAAACATGGATTCAATTTGGTTGCCCGCCAGATAAATGAAGGACAAACTAAATAACAGCTCCATGTCATTAGAGATGATGATACAACTTGACAAGGAGTCTGACAGTATCTAAGTGTTTTTACTTCATAGAAAGCGGATTGACTCTTCAGGCTTTAAAAAGAAGAGAAAACAAAGATGTTTTGTTGGGAGTAAGGCAAGCTGTGGGATCGTCCCAATATTTTTGTACCTTGAACCCACCTTTCTCATATGATAGGGGTCATTCTTCATTTAATCCCCCTATACCCCTCAAAAACCTGCAACTTAGAAACCAACAACAAAAATCTTCCATCTGTGGTTTAAGATAATTTAATTATCTCAAATGTCACTAAAGGAAAAAAAATGTTAAAAGTTAAAAAGCACACACAAAAAATCTACATCTAAAATCAACACAACTTGTTTTAATATATATGAACACAGCATTTACCCTGATTCATTTGCATTTGGATGGAACAGTGTGGTTTGAAATGCACTTTTAAATAAGCTAACTCATTTCATCCTCACCTAGAAGCTCTGAAGTTGGGCAGAGGGTGGGAAATGTTAGCATTGTCATTTCACAAAAGAGAATGTGGAGCCCTAGTCCAAGGTCATGGGTGTAAAGCCTTGTACCAAGGCCATCCCTGGAACTGACCCAGCCCCATTGCAACCGTTGCCATGAGCCTCCCTGACCTAAACCAGCCCCCATATTAGGTAAAAATACCCTAACCAATCACCTAATGCCACCGTTCCAGCAGGAATTTTTCTTTGTCTTGAGGCTGTAAACATTGGCTACTAACCCATAAAAAGGGATCGGCTTTCCTTTGAGCCAGTCCACTGTTCTAATATCATTTCCTCTTGTTCTGCCTCATGTCTGGAAGTTCCTTTCCAACCCGCACACAGACCAAGACAGAAGACTTTGCAGGTGAAGTGATTCATTCAAGGTCACACAACGAAGTGGCAAAGCTGCAACTATTTCTCTGGTGGCCCAGAAGGTAAAGCGTTGGCCTACAGTGCGGGAGACCCAGGTTCGATCCCTGGGTCAGGAAGATCCTCTGGAGAAGGAAATGGCAACCCACTCCAGTACTCTTGCCTGGAAAATCCCATGGACGGAGGAGCGTGGTAGGCCCATGGGGTTGCAAAGAGTCAGACACGACTGAGCAACTTCCCTTCACTTCCCAGACACTATATCTTGTCCTTTTTTCCCCAATGCAAATTGTCCCCTGCCTCATAGTAACATATTCATATAAACGTTTTACTAGAGTTTCTCAAGTGCTTTCACATATACTAGGTGGAACCATATGGAACATTACTTAACCAACTAAAATGGCAATTCCATATGGTTCAAACAAACATCGCATTTTATTTTCAGAAGGTTCCTCACTGTTCACCTACCTTTCTGTAGGCATTGCCTCTCACATCATCCTCATCTCCAAACACTTTTAACATAAGCAGGAACCACGGTTGCTAGATGCTCTCAATTTAAGATCACATGTTGTGAATTTTTAATCACTCACTACTTTCTAATTGGTTCTTTGCCCTCTTCCATCTAGATCCTTTAAGTGACTAATAAATGACTTTACACAAGAGTTCTAATAACTGAGATGGGCAACATGTTACCTCTCAGAAAGGCATTTGCCCTAGTCTTCATAGGTCGTTAACTCAAAGGAATAAATTTCTAATGAATCTCTCAACCAGTATTGGAGTAGAACAGGTGTTGCCCCTTATAACAGTGTCATTCATTTCCACCAAGAAGCTAACTAAACCTTTACCTGACCTGTACGGAAGATTTCCTCTTGATTACTTGCACTTTTCTCTATCCATCCTTCACATCCTTCCCTCTCTCTCCATTTTGTCTCATTCTCTCTGGATTTATCTTTTTTTCTACTATCCTTCTCCCCAAAAGCTTTCCCTCCCTTCTTTCCTTTCCCTCTTTCTTCAGAGTAGCCCTTTCTTATTTCAGGCCTTCTTTCTCATTACCTGTAAAATAATTTCACCTGTCAATATCCATCAAACAATACTTAGCAATTATAATTTTTGTCTGTTCCCATGTAGTGATTAGCTTCCAATTTAAAACTATTCATAGCACACCCAGTGGTCCATGGATCTCTCTTGGTTCAACATTGTACCAGACTTGTGGACACCCTTCTTCCAGCCTCTGACCACCCTTCAGCCTCTTTTCTAATCACATCCTCCGAGACTATCTTCTCTGCCCTCCTCAGCCTCCTGGACCAGCCAACGCCATTTTCTTTCTTTCTTTCTTTTTCTTTTCTTTCTTCTTCTTTTTTTTTTTGTTGCTTAACTGGTTATGGCTGACCCACCGTGGGCGCCAAGATTCATCAGAATTATTCCACTGAGATGAAGGCTGCCATCAACCATGGGCTCTTCTTGAATCTGGATCCTCTTATACCTACCTCTCTCTGGGCTTCTATTTCAACCAAGAGGTTGCGGCTCTGGAGGGGGTGGGTCACTTCTGTGAGTTCGTGGTGGAGAAGTTTAAGGGTGCTCAGTATCTCTTGAAGATTCAAAACTGTCACGGTGTTCCTGCCCTCTTTCAGGAGTGCAGAAGAAGTCCCAAGATGAATGGAACAAAATTCTGGACAATTCTGGCCATGGAAGATGCCATGGCCCTGGAGAAGAACCTGAGCCAAGCCTTTTTGAACCTGCCTGCCCTGGGTTCTGCTTGTGCAGACCTCCATGCCTGTGACTTCCTAGAGCGTGGCTTCCTGGAGGAGCAACTGAAACTCATCAAGCAGATTACAACCACCTAATCTCCCCATACCCCACCCCTGCAGACTGAGGGTGGGGTGGAGGGGGAGTTGAGCCAGTAACTCTTCCAACAGTTCGCCCTCAACCAGCCTGCTGCTGCTGCTAAGTCGCTTCAGTCGTGTCTGACTCTGTGCGACCCCATAGACGGCAGCCCACCAGGCTCCGCCGTCCCTGGGGTTCTCCAGGCAAGAACACTGGAGTGGGTTGCCATTTCCTTCTCCAAAGCATTAAAGTAAAAAGTGAAAGTGAAGTCGTTCAGTCATGTCTGACTCTTCGCAACCCCATGGACTGTGGCCTACCAGGCTCCTCCATCCATGGGATTTTCCAGGCAAGAGTACTGGAGTGGGGTGCCATTGCCTTCTCCATCAACCAGCCTAGGAGCCCAGAAACCTTTGAGGGACCCCTCTGCATCCCCCTGAAGTCAGGGCTTCTGTCTTAAACCTCTTCTTGCAGTCACCAGACAGCTTTGTAACTACATTGAAGCCCTGGCCCAAGCCGTGGACCAAAAGGAAAATATCAAGGACAAAGCAAAAATAGCCACAACAAAACAAAACTCTACCAAACCTTTTATTTAGCACTTACTGATTGTCGCTAATTATACTAATCATCTTACATGCATTCATGTTTAAAGTAACTTTTTAAAAATATTTATTTAATTGTAGGATAATTATAATATTGTGATGGCCTCTGCCATAAGTCAACACGAATCGGTCATAGGCATACATGTGTACCCTCTCTCCTGAACACTCCTCCCACTTTGCTCCCGACCCCATCCCTCCAGGTTGTCAGAGATTATCAGCTTTGGGTTCCCTGCATCATATATTAAACTCCCACTGGCTATCTGCTTTGCATATAGTAATGTATACATTTCAATACTATTCTCTCAAATCATTCCACCTCTCTTTCTCCCACTTGTCCAAAAGTCTGTTCTTTGTGTCTCCTTGGCTGAACTGCACATAGGATTGTCAGTACTAGCTTTCTAGATTCCATATATATGCCTTAATATACAGTATTTGTCTTTCTCTTTGAGGAAACCATAATTGAAAAAGAAAGATATACCCCAATGTTCATGGCAGCGCTATTTACAATAGGTAGGACATGGAAGCAACCTAGATGTCCATCCACAGATGAATGGATAAGGCAGTTGTGGTACATATACACAATGGAATTACTCAACTATAAGGTTACTTTTAATTTCAGATGATTATAGAGTCACAGGAGTTGACTCTGGTAGTTGTAACAAATACAGTTGTTACAGTTGTCTAGCAGTTGTAACAAATAGTAAAGAGAGATCCTGCATGTATCATTTACACATTTCCTCCAATGGTAATATCTGCCAAAACTATAGTACAAAATCACAACCAAGATATAGACATTAGTATGGTCAAGATACAGAAGATTCCCATCACAAGGATCACTCATTTTGTCCTTTTTTAGTCACACCCACACTCATCCCTACCCTCTGCCAAGTCCCTGAACTAGGGTAATCATTGATCAGTTCACCATGTCTATAATTTTGTCATTTCAAGAATGTTGCATAAATCAAATTGTTTAATAGATAAGGTTTTAGTATTAGCTGTTTTTCACTAAGTACACTTCTCTGGAGATTCATTTAGGTTGTTGCTTGTATCAATATTCTGTTTCTTTTTATTTCTAACTAAGTATTACAAGGCATACCACCGTTTGTTTGACCATTCATCCATTAAAGAACAATTTGGGTTATTTTCGGTTTGGAGCTATCACAAACAAACCTGCTATAAACATTCATGTACAAGTTTTTGTTTGAACATAAGTTTTCAGTTTTCTGAGATAAATGTCTAGGAGTACAATTGCTAGGTTTTATGCTAGTCACAAGTTTAGGGCTTTTATTTTTTTTTTATTTTTTTTGGTTTTTGGTTTGCCTTTGACTGACAAACTTTCCCAGAGTTGCTATACTATTTCACATTTTACTGTCAGATATATGAGCAATCTGAATTCTCTGCACCCTTGCAAACATTTGATATTGTTACTAATTTTATAGTGCACATATTTTATATAGTGTCTATTTAGCCCTTCTGATAGATGTGTTGTAAAATCTCATTGTAGTTTTCATTTACACTCACTAATGACTAATACATTGAATATTTTCCATGTGCTTCTTTACCATCTACATGTTTTTTGTGAACTGTCTTTTAATGCCTTTGGCCCATTTGGGTTTGCTTTGTTTTTGTTTTTGTTTCTCTGAAGCTGTTGAGTTTTGCTGCTGCTAAGTCACTTCAGTCGTGTCCGACTCTGTGCGACCCCCATAGACGGCAGCCCACCAGGCTCCCCTGTCCCTGGGATTCTCCAGGTAAGAACGCTGGAGTGGGTTGCCATTTCCTTCTCCAATGCATGAAAGTGAAAAGTGAAAGTGAAGTCGTGCAGTCAGGTCCGACACTTAGCGACCCCATGGACAGCAGCCTACCAGGCTCCTCCATCCATTTTTCCAGGCAAGAGTACTGGAGTGGGGTACCATTGCCTTCTCCACTGAGTTTTGAGAGTTCTTTAAATAGAGCTATAAATCCTTTGTCAAATACATGATTTGCAAATAATTTCTCCCAATCCATAACTTACACTTTCATCCTTACAAGGACTTTTTCCACAGAGCTAAATTTTTTTAATCTATAAGTTTCAATTTATCAGCTTTTACCAGATGTTCCTGAAGGGTATTTTAGTTTCTATAAAGCTAAAAAATCATGTGTCTGTGTATCTGTGGAGAATAGCATGTGTGTGTGTGTGTGTGTGTGTGTGTGTGTGTGTGTGTTAGTCACTCAGTTGTGTCTGACCCTTTGTGACCTCGTGTACTATAGTCTGCCAGGCTCCTCTGTCCATGGAATTCTCCAAGCAAGAATACTGGAGCAGGTTGCCGTTTCCTTCTCCAGGGTATCTTCCTGAGCCAGGGACTGAACCTGGGTCTTCTGTGTTATATGCAGATTCTTTACCATCTGAGCCACCAGGGAAGACTGGAGAATAGCATATGTATAAAAAATACATTGATACTCATGTGTTGAAACACTGTTGCAATTACTGTGATAAATGTCGCTTGGGTATGGTGTGTAACTCTTCTAATATGCTGCTGGATTTAATTTAATTTAATACTATGTTGAGGATTTTTACATCTGTATTCATAGAGATAAGTCAGTTCAGTACAGTTGCTCAGTCGTGTCCGACTCTGCAACCCCATGAAACGCAGCACGCCAGGCCTCCCTGTCCATCACCAACCCCCGGAGTTTACTCAAACTCATGCCCATTGAGTCAGTGATGCCATCCAGCCATCTCATCCTCTGTCATGCCCTTCTCCTCCTGCCCCCAATCCCTCCCAGCATCAGGGTCTTTTCCAATGAGTCAACTCTTCACATGAGGTGGACAAAGTACTGAAGTTTCAGCTTCAGCATCAGTCCTTCCAATGAACACCCAGGACTGATCTCCTTTAGGATGGATGGGTTGGATCTCCTTTCAGTCCAAGGGACACTCAAGAATCTTCTCCAACACCACAATTCAAAAGCATCAATTTTTCGGCACTCAGCTTTCTAGATACTTGCATATAATTTTCTTTTTTATATTATCTTTGCTTTGTTTTAGTATCAGAGTTAACAGTAGCTTCATAAAATGAATTACCAAGTGTTCTGTCTTTAAATTGTTTGGAAGAAATTTTATGGAATAGATTTTAATTCTTCTTTAAATATATGGTAGAATTCTATAGATTTCTGATCATGAAGATTTCTTTGGGGGCATTTTTAATTTATGAATTCAATTTCCTTAATATTTATGTGGTTATTCAAATTAAATATTTTATATTGAACAAATTGTGATAATTTGTATTTTTCAAGGAAGTGATCCATTTCATGTAAGTTGTCTAATTTATTTTTGGATAGTTGTTCATATTATTCCCTTATTGTATTTTTCATGTCTGCAGGGTCTTTAGTGATACCCTGTTTAATTCCTGGTGTTGGTATTTTGTATCTTCTCTCTTTTTTCAGTCAGTCTTGCTCAAAATTTGTAAATGTTATTGGTCTTTTAAAATAATCAACTCTTTCTTTCGTTTTCTCTATTGTTTTTCTGTTTTTAATTTCATTGATCTCAGCTCTTTATTATTTTAGTCCTTCAGCTTGCTTCAGATTTATCTTGCCCTTCTTTTCTAGATTCTTAAGAGATTAGTTTATTACTTTGAAATGTTTCCTCTTTTCTAATGTATGCATATGTGCCATAAATTTCCCTCTGAGCACTGCTTTATTGGTGTGCCACAAATTTTAACATGTTGGATTTTCATTTCATTGAATACATTTTTTTATTTCCTTTAACACTCCCTCTTTGACTCAACGATTATCTAGAAGTGTGTCTGTTTCCCAAGTCTTCTGGGATTTTCCTGTTATTCTCTTGTTATTGATTTCTAGTTTGATTCCACTGTGGTCAGAAAACATACTCTGAATGCTTTCAATTGCTTTAAAAATTTTGGTTCATTTTATGGTCCAAAATGTGGTCTATCTTAGTATATCTTCCGTGAGAACCTTAAAAGAAAGTGTTTTCTGCTTTAGGGGGATGAAGTGCTCTATAAAGATCAATTAGATCAGCTTGTTTGATGTTATTGTTAAATTCTATACTCTTGTGGATTTTCTTTCAAGTTGTTATGTCAGTTGTTAAGAGGGAATATTGAAGTCTCCAGGCAAGAATACAGGAGTTGGTTGCCATGCCCTTCTCAAGGTGATCTTCCTCACCCTGGGACCAAACCAATGTCTCATGTCTCCTGCATTGACAGGAAGGTTCTCTACCACTAGTGCCACTTAGACCGTTTATTTTTAAGGAAGTCTCCAATTATAATTGCATATTTGCATATTTCTTCTATCAATTTTATTAGTCTTTGCTAAACATATTTTGCTGTTTTGTTGTTTGATGCATACACACCTAGATTGCTATGTCTTTTTGAATTGACGATGTTACGTAATGTCCTTCCCTGTATCTGGTAATTTTATTTGCTCTTTAGTCT